TTTACTTGTGGTTCCTGGAGTTTCTAAAAGTAGAATGGGAGGCAGAGCTTTCAGTTATCAAGCTCCTCTCTTGTGGAAKCAARTTCCAGTTTCTGTCCGTGAGGCTGACATCAGCTGAGGTAGTTTGATGACTGAATCAAGATTCCTTCAGATAAAAAAGGGACATAAGGGTCTATTAAGACCAGATGACAATGGGCATAAGTTGGCAGGAGGGTTAGGGGGGTTATGACCCCCACCATAATTTGATCCAGTCATTATAAGCCCCCAACCCCACAATAAAATTACATAATTTGCTCTAACACTAAAATAAACTGGTTATGTAACTCTCTTGTTGTAACTTTAACCTGATTTCAAAATTTACGATGCCATATATGTACATTTAAGCTTAACTGATGAAAATGACTTTTACTCTGCTTTTGTCACATTATGGATGTAGTTCATGAATCATGTTGTAATTTTTCCTAGCCWAATTGTACCAGGTAAATACTGCACATACTCTTGGAAATTTGAGAAGGTATATRGTATTATACATCCTTAAAAAGGAAAATATTTGTTAATTTTGGAAAAAATGGGATAAAAAAGTCGGCCTTTTCTTAATTGATGAACTGATGTGAAACAGAAAAGATGCAGAGTAAATAGAAAGAAAACAGGAAAGTCAAGAAAATCACAGTAAAGGCATTACAATATAAATATTTTAACCCCTAAATATCCTGAATCGGTGTACACAAGTAAATGATTCAATAAATAAATAAATAAACAGGCAGAGCCCCCCAATGGTAGACCTAAAGTCACACCCTTGCAGATGACACTGTAACTCACATCGTAGATGACTCTTTGGACAAGATCATACTCGCCCTCCAGAGACGAGTCCAGAAGCAGGGCCAGAGGACTGAACTGGACCCTCATACRGTGGTCATTCCGGTCTATGCCAGTTTTACGGAGAATTGAACGTTTGCCCTGTGAACCGTAGCAGGACAGAAGAAKATGCTAAATAAGAATTTTTTATTATTATTTAAGTGCACTGAATCATACACTTCAAACTAAAGGCTTTTCAATGTTACTCACAGGTGGCACTGAGACCTGTCCTGTGATCTCTGGGGGTTGTAAACTGAGGGTCTCATCCCCCTGCTTTATCTCACCAGTACTGGGGTAGGGTGGAGGTGGATAGGGTGGGAACTCCTCTAGAAAGTGGTCCTGGTGAGCTACAGTAGATTCCTGTTTCTCTTCCTTTTCCTCCAGTGGAGGAGGCAGGGAGCAGCTGGGATCAGTTATAGGCACTCGCGGGGGGAGTGGAGGTGGAGGTTTGCTGCCATTGGGGCTTTCAGATGATTGCTGCGTTAAGCCGTTTTTGGAAAATGCATCTGTCCCACCTGATCCATCCTCAGGGACATGTGTCCCTGCTGCACTGACAGCCTCCATGGGGATGGTTTCCATTGCAGCCAGCGTGGTCTTTTGGTAGAGCAGTTTCAGGATGTTGGGTCCAGACGGGCCTTCGGGCTCTGTGATAGAGCTGCGTTTCTTCAGAGGTCGAGGAACAGGGTGCAGCCGGCGGCGAACAGCATCAAGCTCAGCATCATTGGGGTTCTTGTGCGGGTTGGACAGGAAGGGGAGGAGCTTGGTGGGGCTTAGAGGCCGAGGGTTTGCACGTTCTGTCGTGTCACCTCCAACACTTTCTCCTGTACTTGGCACACTGTTTTCAGCTTCGTTTTTGTCAGACCCACAAAATCCAAAACTCATGGCGTTGTTGTCTGAAACAGCAGTTTGCTGCCCCCCACTGGTTGGGACTGGTTTCCCATAAACTGGAAAAAGAAAAAATAAATTAAATCTAACTTGGTTGAGGCTGATACAGAAATGTAGCCAAGTAGGGGTCTCTGCAGAACYTGTTGTCCTGTGGGCYGAGACGGCCCAAATTGCCATTGGCCGAGGTCTTAATGTGGGCGGAGATGGCCCTAATCGTGATTGGCGGAGGTCTTGATGTGGGCGGAGATGACCCAAGACGTGATTGGTCAGATTGACTGTGGGGTTTGAGGCTGGAGGCAGCGGGGAGCAATGGCGGGGAGTAGCTTGGTCGAGTCGGGCAGAAAGTAACATTTTTTTGATTAATTTTAGTCATAACTTGAGAAAGGAAAGTGCTATCTACACGAAATTTGAACGTCATACATGTGAAAGGATGTGTAACAATATGGCTCAGTCAAAGCATCCCTAACCAGCCTGTAAAAAAAATATTGATTTTTAGCTATCTTTTTACAGGCTGTTAGGGATGTTTTAACCAAGCCATATTGTTACACGTTGTGACGCTCCTGCTCCTGCTATGAGTTAATTGTCAGTCGCAGGTGCGTCCTGTTACCTGATTACCTTCCAGGTCTGTTGGAGGCGGAGTCAGAGCGGTCTTAAGCAGCCAGCAGTGCAGGTGTGAGGAGAAACAGGCAGAAGCAGGCAGAAGCACGCCGAGGCACGGTTGTGGAGCAGAGTCAGCAGCTGAAGCGCAGCAGCTT